TTCTACTTCCATTTGTCTCAGCCTAACTTCTTGCTCTCGTTCTTCCCGGCGCAGCTGTGCTTCTCGTTCCTCACGCTTCGTCTGTGCTTCTGCTTCTCGCTCTTCTTTACGCTGCTGCGCTTCTCGCTCTTCTTTGCGCTGCTGTGCCTCTGCTTCTCGCTCTTCTTTACGCTGCTGCGCTTCTCGCTCTTCTTTGCGCTGCTGTGCCTCTGCTTCTCGCTCTTCTTTGCGCTGCTGTGCCTCTCGCTCTTCTTTGCGCTGCTGTGCCTCTAGCTCTTCTTTGCGCTGCTGTGCCTCTAGCTGCAGCTTCATTATTTCCAGCTTAATGCTGTGCCTGCTGCCGCTGGAACCCCTGCTGCTTCCACCAATACTCAGGTGTTCACCCTCACTGGCAGGTGTTTGGGGCCGTTCCTCCCCCAAAGCTTCGTCTCGAGCCTTTAGCTGAGCCATTATCTCTAGTCTTCTTTCACCAACTCGGGCAGATTTCAGCTTTATTCCAAAATGATCCGCTATAGCCTGTAACTGTGCCTTGGTGCACTCTTCCAGCACCTGTTCGTCTCTAGAGTCAATAAACCTCGCTACTTTATCATCCTCCATCTTGTGCTACGAGTGATAATCTTCACCTGATCTCTAACACCACTGCCAAGTACCACCACTGCAACCTTTACTCCGATCGAGATCCTGGCAAGGTCGCCAATGTTGGGGGTTTCACCTCTCTATTATTCTCTACCCTTACTCTGGGGTGAGCAATAGTTACGCTCAAGGTAACTCACCGTAGCCCTGCGGGTCTTCCCTCGATCCTCACGGCGCCACTGCACGCCAGGAGAGTCTCCCAGTCAATCTTAACGGCCTCTTATTAAGAAAGAGTGAGAACACGACTCGATCACATCGACTGTCGTGTGCCCTCCCCAACAATAGGGCTCTACGGTTATACACAAGATCGCCAACTGGTGTTTAAGGTGGCCAGTAACACCCTCAGTGGACTGGTGTATTCAGTGGTAGCCTTGGCAAGGTCACACTCAAAGATCAGGAATCAGGCAGGTACTTATTGTAATCACTCTATATTTACCAGTATAATATAGCCACAAGATCAATGGAGGGGATGATAAAAACCAAAGAGAGTTTTGTATTTTACTTAAAATGTATGAAAGATGTCACAAGGCCACACAATAATCGATAAATCAACTGATCCTGACTCGGCCGGTAATTCCCACGGATATTATGCGACCGCTAGAGGGCAACACTCTCCCCTCCTCATCAAGTGTCAAGAACAGCTGATCGCAATGGTCACTCCGCGCGAAATTTGCTTGTTTGCTAGATTCACGCGCGCGGTCTCTTTAAATTCTCCAATATTACTAGAAACTCGCACACTCTATATTGGCACAAATAAACCGAATTACTTAGTTACACTGTACTCAGGCTCAAACAGTCTTTTCTACAATCAATTCTACAAGGATTCACTGTAATGGTCTTACACTGTTATTTATCCAACAATATATAATGAAATATTAACACGGGAGTTTTCAGTACTTTCTCTCATGGGCGATAACGCAATGATTCACTGTACTCACAAATGATTATTCACTGTGGACATAGACATATATATGGTATATAAATCAATCATCAATACATGGAAAATAAATAGTTTCTGGGCACATAGCCTAACCTCCAAATACTGGCATAATATTACATATAATTTACCACTATATGTTCATATCAAAATCTATAGAAAGATATACACAACACAGTAAATTTATCACTGGTTCCTGGTGTCTGTACACACCAATAATCAACATAAATAATACAAGTACTCTTGATAGTACTGTCTAGCACACTGGTGCTTTACCGTGACATAGGTGAGACTTGCTCACGACATATAAAATCTTCAGGCTAGATAATATAGCCAAATAATATAGCTAACTAAAGGGGAATGGGGAGGGAACTAGAACCACCTACTTCACCCTATCCTCCGATGAGAGTCGAGATGTAGCTCCTGGTCCTCGTGTCGGGAACGCCCCCACACTACACGTCGTCGTGTCCTACCAGAGCCTCTCGTCGTCCCACCGTTTAGCGCGTCGTCTCCGTGCCTCCTCACTGCAGGTCCGTCCTCCTTCTTGACTTCTTGAAGGTTGGAGTCGGTCTCCTGGCCGTCGTCTTCTCCCAGCAACGGCTGTCGCCTACGTCTCAGCTACAGTCGTTCGGTTTCCCCAAATAGTCCTCTCTTCCTCAGCTACCCAGTGGCTCCGTCAGCCACTACGCTGTCACGAACTGGTGAATTGCCACAGACGTCACGTACGTCACTGCACGGCTTCACTGCTACTGGCACAGTACCTGACTGGAGCACTTGTTGCTCAAATAACCGTCAATTCCCTCTTCTGGTTCAACACATGAACTAGGGAAGACTTCTCAGAGTACTGGCGGACTTCAGGTGACGCGTAAATCCACGGTAGTGGGAAACAGCTGTCCGACAGACAGGACCACTCGTCGCACGTCCGACCTCTATGACGTGTCGTGTCTGACTGCTGGCGCCAGCCCGGCGCGCTGGCCGGACCCCCTTCCTTCGTGACGTCACTTTCGCCACGGGAGGTTTTCATTGGCTCCCGGTGCCACATTGCTGTCGGTGACCAATCCGGTGCCACTGACGTCACACGGTTTTGGCGGGAGATCAGGGAAGCCAGCGCCATCTTGGCTCCCTAAAGGGCCTAAACCACAGGCCAAAATATTACTATTTCACAAATTTCTCGGCTCTCCGAGAACACTTCACTCTCTCCCATATATCAAATTGTAGCCTGCAACGTAGAGAACGCTTGGGAAAAGCAGACATGACTCTTACTGCAGGCGTGGGAGAATTATAAGGGGGGGAACTCCGTCACAATAATTATTAAATACAACAATTATTATTATGATAATTGTTATAATAATAATTGTAAATATTTAACAATTATTAGCTGGCCTGAACTATACAGGCCAGCTAACCTAAGACACACGCTGGTCAGATGGTCAGTGTTTGTCATCCATGGCAGTGAAGCTTAAACGGGCGATCCATTGTCAAATAATTGAGAAACTCTCCAGACACAAAGCAGAACGCTTTAAAACAGACCAACGTCGCCTATGCCTTCAAATGCCCTCTTGGGGACTGTAAGCCTCAAAGAACTCAGTATATAGGCAAGACAACAACATCTCTTTCCAGGCGATTAACGATGCATAAGCAACAGGGTTCCATTAAAGAACATATAATCTCTTCCCACAACCAGACCATCACCAGAGAAATCTTAGCAAACAACAAAGAAATCATCGATAGATACAGCGATAGCAGGTGGCTTGACATCTGGGAGGCACTACACATCAAGAAGTCAACACCAGCAATCAACAGCCAATTAATGGGCAACTATATTCTACCCACTTCAAGACTCCGCTCCAATATAGAAGCATCAAGAAATATGGGCCAATAAAAATAGGCCTTCTGCAGTTACCTACCTTAAATACCCATTGTTTCGTGTCCTATCTTTTGTTAAAAGTTTATTTTCACCTCATCCAAAACTATTGTAACATGTCCCCTCACCCAAATGTAGGTATAAAAACTCGAAGATGTTTAAGCTCTATTCAGTTAAAGTTGTGTGTGTGTGTGTGTAAACTAAAGTCTTTGAAAATGTAATAAGTTTTACGAAACGCGCTCAAGTGTCACGTCAGACTAGAAATAAAAATGAATTTTGGAGAATTGATTTTTGAATTACCATCAACAGTGAAAAGAAACATAAGAAAGATCGAGAAAATTCGTGTTAGAATTATTAATCTTACTTTTTCGGTCATATTTAATAATATATATATATATATATATATATATATATATATATATATATATATATATATATATATATATATATATATATATATATATATATATATAGTGCTGCGAGGCACTACACATTAAGAAGTCGACACCAGCAATCAACAGCCAATTAATGCACAACTATATTCTACCCACTTCAGGCCTCCGCACCAATATAGAAGCATCAAGAAACATAGGCCAATAGGCCCTTTGGAAGATACCTGGATATCTGAATAGACACCTGGAAGATACTGGAGGGACAAGTACCAAATCTACACAGTAAAATAACAACGTACTGGAGTGAACGATATGGAAGAAAATGCAGAATAGAACCAGTGAAGAGCAGGGGTGCCATAGGCACAATCAGAGAGCACTGTATAAACATCAGAGGTCCGCGGTTGTTCAACACCCTCCCAGCAAGCATAAGAAATATTGCCGGAACAACCGTGGACATTTTCAAGAGGAAACTAGATTTATTCCTCCAAGGAGTGCCGGACCAACCGGGCTGTGGTCCTGCGGGCCGCTCCAAGCAACAGCCTAGTGGACCAAACTCTCACAAGTCAAGCCTGGCCTCGGGCCGGGCGAGTAGAAGAACTCCCAGAACCCCATCAATCAAGTATCATCAAGGGTATGAACGACCCCAGCCTCCTGAAGCAGAGCCTGGGGGGCCGCACGACCCTCGGGAGGTGGACGTCCCGGTCCCGCACCTACGGGTTCCAGACAAGGATCGTCACTGCCCCTTTTCACCCGAGGCCGGCCTCCTTCAAGACTAAGTAGAAGGAAGAGTGATAATTATTAAATACAACAATTATTATTATGATAATTGTTATAATAATAATTGTAAATATTTAACAATTATTAGCTGGCCTGAACTATACAGGCCAGCTAACCTAAGACACACGCTGGTCAGATGGTCAGTGTTTGTCATCCATGGCAGTGAAGCTTAAACGGGCGATCCATTGTCAAATATACAGCTTTACGGTATTTATGTGGTGTATATGGCCGGTTGGGTGTTAAGAGCCGGATGGGGTTGTAGAGGTTACGTCATGTCTGACGCAGGGCACCCCTGGGGTGATGGAGGAGGAGTGGCTGTAATAACAGCTGGGGAGGATGAACAGCCACTCTGGCAGCCTGTAGGAGGCGCGCCTCCACCCTGACCTCGCACTCCACGATGGGATGTACAACTCTCCCGAGGACGGATCGCTGGGCGGAGTCCACGAGGACGACTGGACTGTCACTTGGTCTGTCCTCAGGACTGTCTCCTCCGACAGCACCTGCTGCAGTCTACGCCGGCGGGAGGCGTTGTTACGCCGCACCAACAGGACGCAGACTACCACCAGCAGCACCGTCACCAGAAGGCAGACCCAGTGATGACACGCCCAGGTCAGCAGGTCCTGGGGGACCTGCTTAGTGTTCCTTCCCCAGGAAACACAGGTCTTCAACGTGGTCCACAGTAAACTGCGGGCCACGGCCTCTGTAGATTTTCCCCAGGACACACAGGTCTTGATACTAGACCACAGTGACTTGCGGGCCACGGTCTCTGTAGACTTCCCCCAGGACACACAGGTCTTGATACTCGGCCACAGTGACTTGCGGGCCACGGTCTCTGTAGAGTTCCCCCAGGACACACTGGTCTTGATACTAGACCACAGTGACCTGCGGGCTACTGTCTCTGTAGATTTCCCCCAGGACACACAGGTCTTGATACTAGACCACAGTGACCTGCGGGCCACGGTCTCTGTAGATTTCCCCCAGGACACACAGGTCTTGATACTAGACCACAGAGACCTGAGGGCCACGGTCTCTGTAGATTTCCCCCAGGACACACAGGTCTTGATACTCGACCACAGTGACCTGCGGGCCACGGTCTCTGTAGATTTCCCCCAGGACACACAGGTCTTGATACTCGACCACAGTGACTTGCGGGCCACGGTCTCTGTAGAGTTCCCCCAGGACACACTGGTCTTGATACTAGACCACAGTGACCTGCGGGCCACGGTCTCTGTAGATTTCCCCCAGGACACACAGGTCTTGATACTCGACCACAGTGACCTGCGGGCCACGGTCTCTGTAGATTTCCCCCAGGACACACAGGTCTTAATACTCGACCACAGTGACCTGCGGGCCACGGTCTCTGTAGATTTCCCCCAGGACACACAGGTCTTGATACTAGACCACAGTCCCTGGGGGACCTGCTTGGCGATCCTTCCACAGGGCAACCAGGCCCTCAGCCTCCTGCACCTGCCCTGGGGGACCTGCTCGGTGGTCCTGCCACAGGGCAACCAGGCCCTCAGCCTCTTGCACCTGCCCTGGGGGACCTGCTCGGTGGTCCTGCTACAGGGCAACCAGGCCCTCAGCCTCCTGCACCTACCCTGGGGGACCTGCTCGGTGGTCCTGCCACAGGGCAACCAGGCCCTCAGCCTCTTGCACCTGCCCTGGGGGACCTGCTCGGTGGTCCTGCCACAGGGCAACCAGGCCCTCAGCCTCCTGCACCTGCCCTGGGGGACCTGCTCGCTGGTCCTGCCACAGGGCAACCAGGCCCTCAGCCTCTTGCACCTGCCCTGGGGGACCTGCTCGGTGGTCCTGCCACAGGGCAACCAGGCCCTCAGCCTCTTGCACCTGCCCTGGGGGACCTGCTCGCTGGTCCTGCCACAGGGGAACCAGGAGCCTCGCTGGCGGACCTGCATGACGAACCTGTAGATCACTCGGGAGTGTATTACCAACAGCAACACTGTCACCAGGAGGGCGACTGGAACCCACTTGGGGTCCCACTTGTGACGACAATTAAGGCCTAACCACTCCTCCCACATTGACGACAGTGATTGTGGTGGCGACGGTGGTGGTGGTGACGGTGACGCTGGTGGTGGTGACGGTGACTGACGCTGGTCGCTTTTGTTCCCTTTCCCGAAAAATGTTCTGATACACTTGAACATCATTATTTTAGAATATGTTAGTATATGTTATTAATATTTATTCATATTAATTCTGACTGTTTTGTGAAGGAAGAAAATGTTAGAAAAGTGGGATTGACTTTACCGTTGTGTGGTGTGACACCTGTCTCCCAACACCTCTGTCACACCACACCTTTGTCACATGCCATACGTGTCACACCATACACCTGTCACCCAACACCTCTGTCACACCATACCTCTGTCACGTGTCACATCACATACCAGTCACACCCAACACCTGCCACACTACACACCATGCATCTGTCACTCCACACCTGTCACACAACACACCTGTCACACCCCACACCTGTAGCACCACACACCTGTCACCCAACACCTCTGTCACACCCAACACCTGTCACACTACACACCTGTCACACCAAACACCTGTCACACCACACACCTGTCACACCACACACCTGTCACACCCCACACCTGTAGCACCACACACCTGTCACACCACACACCTGTCACACCACACACCTGTCACACCAAACACCTGTCACTCCACACCTGTCACACCAAACACCTGTCACTCCACACCTGTCACACCACACACCTGTCACACCACACACCTGTCACACCAAACACCTGTCCCCCTTCACGTAGAGGCTGCGGGTGCGGTGGTGCCATCTTGGGGGTGTTGTGGGAGTGGTACACCAGCGTCTCTTGTTGATGGGGCTGAGTGAGTGTAGGCACTAATGTACACTCGCTGGATGGTCAGTTGGCAATTGTGGCTGTCTTAATAATCTTCCACAGGTTGATAGGCGTTAAGACCAACACCAAATTAACGATATTCAAGAGCAACACCAGTTCAACGCCATCAACGTTGATGAAACGTCGAAACAACGCCACTCTTGGACAGTGTACACTGGGTTCAAGGACAACAGTAGCTAGGTTGCCGAGTGGTGTCTGGTTGCTCTGACGTCGCCACCAGCGTTGCTCAGACGTCCCCACCAGCGTTGCACTGACGTAGCCACTAACGTTGCCCTGACATCGTCATCAACGTTAGTCTGACGTCGCCACCAACGTTGCTCTGACATCGTCACCAACGTTACTCTGACGTCGCCACCAACGTTGTTGTGCCGTCGCCACCAACGTTACTCTGACGTCGCCACCAACGTTGTTCTGCCGTTGCCACCAACGTTACTCTGACGTCGCCACCAACGTTGTTCTGCCGTTGCCACCAACGTTACTCTGACGTCGCCACCAACGTTGTTCTGCCGTCGCCACCAACGTTGCTCTAACATCGCCACCAACGTTGTTCTGCCGTCGCCACCAACGTTGTTCTGCCGTCGCCACCAACGTTGCTCTAACATCGCCACCAAAGTCGCTCTGGCGTCGCCATCAACGTCACTTGACCATCGTTCTATGGTTTACAACAACAAGAATGTCGAGATTCTACTGAATTATGGCTAAGATTTTGTGCTTTTAGGTTGAGAAAGTTTTTCCCTTCAACCACTTGAATCTGCGCTCGCACGCACGCACGTTTATATTAATGATGGTCGTGTGTGGTGTAGATAGTTACAGTGGCTGGGACTCTCTCAGCCGCAGGTTCGAGTCACCTCAGAGCTCCACCTGATTTTCTCATTATTATTATATCATTATCACGAGAAAAACTTTTATTATTCTTTGAATTATTACTCTTATTATTATTAATTGTCATCCACACTTCCATGGAAATAAAAATTTCATACACCTGGGCACTAGGAGACTCGAACCACGGACCCAACGCAAGTGAGGCAGAGGATCTGTTTACTTAGCTATGAGTAGTCTTAATAAGGAAAGATTCCAGAACTACTTCTGCTAGGCTGAAATTTTCAACTGACTGCTACTGAAGCTCAGAGGAATTAGTGGTCCACGCCCGCGTCATGTAAATTGGCATCTACGTGTGATGCCAATTTACAGGCATAACGTGTGAGAGGATGGTCTCTCAAGATTCTCCCACAGCTGACTTGAATTGTTTATTGCAATGCACAGTGCACCCAAGCAGTGCACAGTGCACCAAAGCAGTGCATGGTGCACCCAAGCAGTGCAATGATAGATATCGTGAGGAGACATTCACATATGGGACTAATAGAACAAGAACCCAGCAATGTGATGTTATAGTGGCCAGAATACGCCTGGGACATAGACGTATCTGGCTGCTTTCTTAAACCCCAAATGTCGAGTTCACAATGTGTCAACTTTGTGAAAGAGAAAACATGCACTCTCTTGAATATTATATTGTAGAATGTCCCATACTAGCTGACTTTCGCCCTCCTGGGCTAGCTAAGGCATGCGGAACTCTGTAATTACTATATGAGTACTGGAACACTTGATGATATATTGGACTTGTACTCAAGATTAACCATGTAATGTATCAATTATACAATGTATGTATGTGATGTAAGTATATAACCTTAGCATGTAAATGCACCTTAATCACCTTCAGTGATTAAGTGCTTAAGTGCACACTAGTTTCTCTATCAGCTATCTCACCCTGTCAGAGTAAAAGAGACAAATGTATGAAAATGAATGTGTGTGTGTATATGTAAGTATATATGTATATGTATGTATATATGTATATGTACGTATGTGTGTGTGTGTGTACATGTATGTGTATAAAGTATATATGGAAGGTGGTCAGAATTACATTTAACCTTTGTAAATGCACATTAATGATAGTATGTAAAAGACACATCGAACACTTTATGTAGGGCATACGTAAATCTGTATATCTATGTATTTACGTATGTAGGTTAGCTTAGCATTTTAGAAGCACCGATCACCTTCTGTGGTTGATTGATATGGTTTATGATATACATGCAGTGATAATATTAAAACAGTCATTAAATCATGTAGTTTTACTCTACGTAATAACGATGGCGCAATGGTAAAATCCCTATAGTGACTTTAGTTCCCCATACAACACAGCGGAGATCAGAGAAAATGGCAGAGGAGGAAAAGAGAGGCAACCGACTAGCGAGGGGACAACACTCGGATAAACACGAGACCGGACCGCTCAGTCAAGGTAGGACAAAAGTTCTCCTGGTATGCAAACTTTCTTCATTGCCTTTGATGAAAATAGGAGCGTTCTCGAAAAAAAAGCTGGGTACAAAGTATCCCATATAAAGTCATTCCAAAGATATTTCAGATCAAAGTGTAGGATATCAGACCTAATATACAAAGGAATTTAATCGCAGTGGACCACAACACAGCGAGGAACTAGAGCTTTCAGACGTTACTGACATCTGTGGATACAAAGTTAGATGCTACCAACCACTAGGTGACCGATTAGTGAAATATGTAATCTGACATGTTGTAGGCATTAGTGCAGACGACATCAAGGCAACTTCAGACAGATGACATTCCAATGTTCGGAGTCAAAAAAATTATGGGCAGAACAAACGGAGAACTGAGTGATACATGCACTGCCTTGCTTACTTTTCTAAACTACTTTTCCCCTTATTGGGTTTGGATTAACGGCTTCCTCCATAAACTAGATGTGTAAGTACCACATCCCACTCAGTGCTTTAGATGTAAAGGTTTCAACCATACCTCGAAAGGCTGCACCAAAGACATTAAATGTGGGAAATTCTCTGGTTCCCATTACACACAGGACTGTGTGTCAGATATACTAACCTACTCAATCTGTGGTGGCAATCATGACATTATATTCAAACAATATCCTTCATTCATAGCAGCAAAAGCTAAGGTTCTCCCTACTAACAACCTGCTATACAGTAGTGCACTGAAACAACCTAACCAAGTCTATCATCAACCTCTACCCCACTCTCAACCACAACCTTTGCTTGTACCTGATATGGCTGTCACTGATAATCCTACACCCCCAGAGTCCAATCCTCTCCTTCAAAACATACAACTAAGTTTCAATCTTGTTGAAACTCTTATCACTCGCATTGAAAATGCACTAGAAAAGATGCTGGACCGACTTCTAACTAAATTTTTTGCACAAGTAAACCAACCATCCCCGAGGCTGACCCAACAGACACCCCATCAACATGTACGGACAATGACATCCTCCCTAACACAGCTCTCATTGCCGTATACAAATCATTTGAACTGATGCTGGGCAAACTTCTAAATAACTCCTTAGCTTGCCTTACCCAAGTCACTTCCCAGGTTGACTTGCCACAAACCACAACCACTGGTACCAAGAGTAAGAAATCCCCAGCTTTACAAACCTCCCAACTACCTGGCATTTTGACTGAAAAACCACATTAAACACACACTCTGACGACACATTCTCCAACCACCCAAAGATATTTAACACAGTGTACTACTGGCATGTTAAAGAAGACCGATGCAATCACATCCCAGATGTAAAAATACAAAATACGACAAGATAACATAATCCATTTTGAACTAACCTACCTCAACCTGACCTAACCTCATGTACATTAACCCCATGTTACTTAATGTACTCTAACTTACCCTGCCATAATCTACCCTAATCTATCTGAATTGCAACTAACTCCCAAACATACTTTGACTCACAATTCAGTCTCTTGACTACCTTGAGGTTACCTTGAGGTGCTTCCGGGGCTTAGCGTCCCCGCGGCCCGGTCGTCGACCTAGCCTCCTGGTTGCTAGACTGATCAACCAGGCTGTAGGACGCGGCTGCTCGCAGCCTGACATATAAGTCACAGCTTGGTTGATCAGGTGTCCTTTGGAGGTGTTTGTCAAGTTCTCTCTTAAACACTGTGAGGGGTTGGCCAGTTATGCCCCTTATGTAGCGGAAGCGTGTTGAACAGTCTCGGGCCTCTGATGTTGATAGAGTTCTCTCTCAGAGTACCTGTTGCACCTCTGCTTTTCAACGGGGGGTATTCTGCACATCCTGCCATGCCTTCTGGTCTCATGTGATGTTATTTCTGTGTACAGGTTTGGGACCAGCCCCACTATTATTTTCTACGTATAGATTATTATGTATCTCTCCCACCTGCATTCAAGGGAATACAGATTTAGGCTCTTTAGTTGGTCCCAGTAGTTTAGATGTTTTACTGAGTGGATTCTAGCAGTAAAGGATCTCTACACGCTCTCCAGGTCAGCAATTTCTCCAGCTTTGAAAAGGGCTGTCATTGTGCAGCAGTACTCCACTATAGAGAGCACTAGCGTTTTGAAAAGTATCATCACCGGTACAGCATCTCTAGTGTGGAAAGTTCTTGTTATCCAACCTGTCATTTTTCTTGCAGTTGTGACGGCTACTTTATTGTGTTCTTTAAAGGTAAGGTCTTCCGGCATGAGTTCATCCAGATCCTTTACATTGCCTTTTAGTTCTGTGTTATGATTTGCCTGAGTTTTGTATGTGGTTTCTGTTTTTATATTTTCATTTTTTCCGTAGCGCATGAGCTGGAACTTATCTTCGTTAAACACCATATTATGCCTGAGTTTTGTACGTGGTTTCTGTTTTTATATTTTCATTTTTTCCGAAGCTCATGAGCTGGAACTTATCTTCGTTAAACACCATATTATTTTCTGTAGCCCATAGAAAGACCTGATCTACATCTGGTTGGAGGTTTGCCGTGTCCTCTATGTTGCCTACTCCCATGAAGATCCTATTGTCATCTGCAAAGGATGATACAGTGCTATAGGTTGTGTCCTTGTCTATGTCCGATATGAGGATCAGAAAAAGTACTGGAGCAAGCACAGTACTCTGGGGGACTAAGCTCTTCACAGTTGATGGGCTGGATTTTATTTTGTTGACTATTACACATTGGGTTCTGTTAGTAGGAAATTGTAGATCCATCTGCCTATTTTTCCGGTAATTCCTTTTGAACACATTTTATGTGCAATAACACCATGGTCACATTTATCGAAGGCTTTTGCAAAATCTGTGTAAATTTCATCAGCATTTTTTTTGTCTTCCATGGCATCTAATGCCATGTCATAGTGGTCCAGCAACTGTGACAGGCAAGAGCGCCCTGTTCTAAAACCATGTTGTCCGGGGTTTTGGAGATGCTGTGATTCCATGTATTTTGTGATCTTACTTCTTAGCACTCTCTCAAAATTTGTTATGATGTGTGATGTTAGTGCTATCAGTCTGTAATTTTTTGCCTCTGCTTTATTTCCTCCTTTATGGAGTGGTGCTATCTCTGCTGTTTTTAGTATGTCAGGGATAATGCCAATATCTAGGCTTTGTCTCCAAAGAATGTGAAGGGCCTGCAATAGTGGTTTTTTATAGTTTTTGATGAATATGGAGTTCCAAGAATCCGGGCCTGGTGCAGAGTGCATAGGCATACTGTTTATGGCTTCTTCAAAATCCAGTGGGGATAGGGTGATGTCTGACATATGATTTGATGTTGGTATCATATCCATGAAAAATTCATTTGGGTTATCAATCTTTAGAGTGTTTAGTGGCTTGCTGAAAACAGTCGTACTGCTTCCTCAGTAACTCGCTCATTTCTTTGTTGTCATCTGTGAAAGTTTCATCTCCCTTTCGCAGGGGCCCGATACTAGATGTGGTTTTTATCTTGATCTTGCATAGGAGAAAAAATATTTTGGATTTCTCTCTATTTCACTGATGAACTTTTGCTCTCTTTGCCTCTCCGGGGTTTTGTATGATTCTTGTAGCTTGAGTTCAATTGTATCTATTTCTCTACCTAACCTTCTTCGCCGTTCTTGAGATTGGGTGTGATCCTCAAGTTGTTCCGTGATTCATTTTCTTTGCCTATAGAGGGAACGACGTTCCCGTTCCAATCTGCATCTCTTCCTCTTTTTTTCTTAGGGATATGCGGTTTGAACATATTTCTAGTGCTAGTGAGCTTATTTTTTCCAGGCACTGGTTCAGGTTTGCATTTTCTAGGTGTTCTTCCCAGTTTATTTCTGTGAAGTCCTGGTTTATTTGCTCCCAGTTTATCTGTTTATTATTGAATTTGCTGAAATCTCCTCCACCAGGAATCGGGACTGGTTTTGAAGGTCTATTCTCCCATGCTTGTCAGAACTTCAATTAAGTTGTGATCTGAGTAACAGGTATTTGTAATCATTATGTTCCTGATCAATTCATCATTATTGGTGAAAATGAGGTCCAGCGTGTTCTCTAAACCACACAGTTTTTATAAAACAGCAACACTTTGATACCACCATTAACATAACTCATCTCTGCCATTCTGAGTACATTTCCACTCATATGTTTATTTTTTCTCATTATCCTTACAAATAAAAGACATTGATAAATTTCAATCTCTGCCAAATTATGAGCAATGATGTGCCACTGTGAGTGCTGCATCTTTCAACATCACCACTCGTGCAGTCATGGGGAGGAAAAACCTTCAACTGTATGTATCGCGAAGAAAAGAACTCTCACACCCTCCTTGGGTTTGTACAGTTATAGAATATGTGTGTGGATTAGAGATTTGTGTTTGCTTAACCATTGTCTGGTGGATATTAGGGCACTTAACATTCGTCCGGCACTTCGCGAGTGCTTTGGCCTGGGTTCGTATCCTGGCTGGGTAAGATTCTTAAGCTAGTCCTTAACACTATAAGTGCTAGTGGCTTTATAAGAATGTAAGAACTCTTGCATATATAAATAAAATTTAATAAAAATATATACAAATGTATTAAAATATATTGCTCTGAAAATCGTATCAGCCGCTAAACAAAATATTGAGCTACTTTAATTACAAATTTGTTAATTTTAGACCGTCAGCTCGCTACTCTCAGCAATTCGGATCTGGCATTCCTACTTCAGCCGGGACTCCTGTAGGAAGTTGCGGTGTGGATGCGAAAGCTGGCGGCAGCCTGAACCTGTTACTGGTGTGCTACACCTGCAGGCCCCAGGGGGTACCCTGAGCACCTCCCTGGCACCTCCCAGGCAGGTTACACAGGGGGTGTAGCAACGTTCGTTGAATATCGAGGGACACATTGCTATTGCAGTCTCGCCTAGGCCTATATTATCCATTACAAACTCCAAAAATGTGCTCGCCCATACCCTGTATCAATACAGCAACTGTAATGTTATCCTATGTATTTTTACCAGTAATAATATGGCTGAGAGAAGCTAGTTAAGTTTGAGGGGAATCACTTGGAATGCACTGTATTTTTCTGCATCACAATAGGCCTACCCATCCAGTGGACTGTGGATGAAGAGTTACAAAGGGTCATACTGTAGTTAAGAACTGGATTCCTGTCTTTGATTTTGCTCAGGAAGTTTATGAGGATTAGTTTAAAAAATGTCTTAAATAGGCCTATCTTCAACCCATTTGCTGGAAAGTGGATTACATTACCAAAAGAGCAGAAGTTTTTCCAGGCATAATGGGATAATTGCGTGAATAATGAATTCTTGTACCTACCTTGAGGTAGGTACAAGTATAAAGTATAAAGTATAAAGTATAAAGTATTACTGTATAAAGTAATTATTTTTTAATCAAAATGTTGTAAGGTGCTGTGTTGCTTTACTACAGGATACAATGTAGTGTTGATTATACGGATACCAAGGCAGTTATCATGAGCTAAAGCTTAAAGCTACACCTTTGTATTATTTGCACAAG